AACAATTAACAAATGTAGATGTAATCAAATGTTGATGTATTAAAACATAATTTAATAGATGTTAAATAAGTATACATGTTGATGTACAGATGTTGAAATAATTTAATAAACATGTTGATGTACAAATGTTTAAATGTTTAAATAAAACATAATTTAAATAAATGAAATTATTTATTGTTGAAATTAAACATTTAATTGTTTAAATAAAACATCTATTAAAACATCTATTAAATTTAAACAATGAAATTAAATAAAACATAAACAAAATTTTAAAATAAAACATCAATAAAATATCTATAAAAAATTATTTTAAAAAATTAAATAAATAAAACATTAATAAAAAGTTAAATAAAATTATTTTATTTTTAAATTGAGACATTTAAATTTTATTGAATTTTACTAAACATAATACATAATTAAATAGTAGAGGGTCAAAATAGTCATTTTATCACTTAATCCCAACAATAAATAATCTCCCAAAACTGTCCCACACCCCCCGGGATAGTATAATCCCCCATATGGGGGATAAGGAGTCCGCCCGGACTCCATGTCCGACGGATTAAAAAAAAACAAACGATGGACTACTCACTCCTTCGGATAGACAATCCGAATAGTGAATAGTCCCCCCTAATCCCCCCAATCAAACGCACCCTTATTTAAATGTTGGAGGAAGGGTGCCTTTGGGTTGTGCTTTTTTATTATCAATTTTTAATTTACAAAAAGGTGAACTAAACTGACTTATTTTCTGCTTTGATACCATGTGAAATTGTCAATCATATTTTGGATTATTTTGGGAAGTAGGTTAAATAATGTAGGATAAATATGATATTTATATATTTAAATAATGTAAATATTAGCTAAATTTATTTATATGACAATAATAACTACTCATAGATAAAAAATTTATATATAGTGATATATATTATTATTTTGATAAAATATTGACTTTTCTTTTAATATGTTTATATATATATATATATATATTGTATATATAACTGTATATAATCAAAGTTTCAATTTTAACTTTAATCTCATACACAAGTGTAAATTTATTATTTCTTTGGCTTGTGAATAATTTTGAACTTGAGTCAAGCATAAACCAACTCAATTTGAGCTGAGCTCGAACTCAAATTTGCTAAAATCTTAATAAATAAGTCCAAACATATTAAACTTTGACTTGGCTAAGCTCATTTGCACCCCTAATATTTTCTAAAATAATTACGATTTCATGAAAAAAAATTTAGCATTTTAATTATTAAAATTTCTAAACTTTACTACTCATCTAAATTTTTTTTTTTTTTTCAAACATCCTCTCCATCATAATGCCCCTGTTATTTATTGGGCCATAAAAGTGGCTCCTCCACTATTAAACCGCTAAACATGTGGTGTAAGGCCATGTAGATTTTTTTTTTTTTTTTTTTTTTTTGAGGTGGTATTTTATAGGATTTTATTGGTAATAAGTCTATTCCTATAGGGATATAACATTAGGTTCAAAGATTGATCTTTTTTAAAGATATGGACATGATTAATAATATTGTTTGATGAGAATGAAAAATTATTATTTTGAAAGAATTTTTTCTATTTTATCGCATCGTCGCCAAACAACCATCGAACCACTGCTAGGCAGCCATCAAACTACCACTGAACCATTGTCAAACCATCACTGGCGTCGAATTTTTTTAGCAAAATGGCTGGAAAAGTTGTTGGAGGTGGCCGACAGAAACGACTGGTGGTAACGGTGATATGAGCAAATAGACATATTAGGTGTATAAATAAATAGATGATATGTCACCAAATAAGTGGATAAATATATGACATTTAAACAAATAAATAGATAGGTAAAGATAACATGTTCAAATTTTTTTGTCTTTTGAGTCCAAAAGAATATAACTTGGGTTATTGCCCCAAAATTTTTGAAATTGGACTTATGATCCGAGTCCCATATTTTATAATCTGATTCAACACTTAAAATTTATAATAAAAAGAAAAACACTAGAAATCTCAAATATTCTATCAAAATTTCTACCAAACACTCACATGAGTAAGGGCACCACATCCATGTGAGTTTTTGTCAAATTTTTTATAATATTTTTTATATCCATGGCATTTCTCTAAAATTTAAGCACCTCTTACAAACTTCCTATTAAATTCTAAATATTTAATCTTTAATATGTTATGATAACGTCGATATTGAGGCGCACCGTTATTATCCCCACTAATGCAACCATTATTACCACCGTCATGACCATCATTCCACGGCCACCATCACTACCTTCCGTCCATTTCTACCACTGTTCTTGTCAACTACTCCACCATATCACCACCAATACAGCTGCAGTTGTCGCACCACCACCACACAGCCACCATTGTAGTTATTACTACCACAATCACTACATCTTCACCACCACTACCATTACAACATCACCATTACCATCACCATCACCATCATTGTGACCAACCTTCTACCTCTACAATCATACCTCTGTTGTTACCAATACCACTGTCACCGCCATCAATCTAAGCACCTCTTACAAACTTCTTATTTAATTCTAAGTAATCTTTAATATGTTATGATAATGTCAATATTGAGGTGTACCATCGTTAGCCTTACCAATGTACGATCATCACCACCGTTATGACCATCACTCTACTACCACTATCACCACCACCCTTCCACTTCTACCACTGGTGCTATCACAATTACTCCACCATAGCACCACTACACAACCACCATTGTAGTTATTACCATCACTATGATAACATCACCACCATAACCACCACTATCACAACATCACTGCCACCACCAACACCATCATCGTGGCCAACCTTCTACCTCCACCACCATGTCCCTGTAGTTACCACCACCAATGTCAGTGCATTAGTCTAAGCACCTCTTACAAAGTTCTTATTTAATTCTAAGTAGTTAATCTTTAATATGTTATGAAAATGTCAATATTGTCATTGCCCCCACTAAAGCACCATTATCATGACTATCGCTCCACTCTCACCATCACCACCACCCTTTTATTTATACCACCGTTCCTATCGTAGCTACTCTACCATAGCACCACCAATACAATTATTATTGGCGTACCACCACCACACAACCACCATTGTAGTTAGTACCACCACTATCACAATACCACCACACCACCATCACCGTGACCAACCTTCTACCTCTAATCATGTCCCTGTTGTTATCACCACCAATGTTACTAGCACCACTACCTTGCCAACTCTATCCTACCTCACATAATCACCACAATTGTTGCTAATACTTCCCTATTGCCACCACAAAACCACCATCGTTGCTGCCACTAGACCACCATTATCACTATGTCGTTACAAGACCATCTACAAGCCTTGTTTGGCAAGTTGGGTTGGGGTTAAAATAGCCAATAAGTCGAAACACCCAATCACATCTCTCTTTGCTTTTCTGTGCATTTGTTCATAAAAAATCAAAAAGCCAATTAAAATACCAAACACCCCATTGTATAAGAAAAAAATTGCTAAATTTCAAAATTTCAATTTTTCTACAGATAAAATAACTTGATTAAATTCAACATTAAATTTCAATAGTTATCAAATAAAATTTTTAAATTAAAATTCATAATTTAATTTTCAATACTTGATTAATTTTTAATTTTTAATTTTATCAGCATCTAAAATAAAATTTTATTTTAAAATTTAACTTGAGATCCTAGAAAATCTTGAAAAGCTATTAGGACATTCTAGATATTTTTTTTCCTGCCTTGGACTTTTTTTATATATACAGTGAAGACCCACCCACTCACCCACTTGCCGCAACTTAAATAAATGTTCAAAAACATAAGATATCTTTCAAATCAGCTCAACAAACACAAAAGTCTTAAAGAACCCTACCCTCAAAACTCTTTTATATTGTTAAAAAAAAAAAAATTAAAAAAAAAAAGAAGCATAACATAATCCTCCAATCATCTCAACAAACTGCAAATTTAAAGCTCCTTATGGTAAGCCTCTTAAATTATAATTTCATTCATTGATTTAAGTGTGGTGTTTGTTTTGAGCTTTCAAATCATAATTCTACACTCATTTCTCAAAACTCAGTTCAAAATATAATCATTACTTTTCAAAACTCATTACTTTTCAGAACTCATAACTAAACACATAACTCAAAACTCTTTTCAAAACTCAATTCAAATTAATATTTTAATTTTTTAAATATTTTAATATTTAAATATGTTACGATTTTTTTAATTTTTTGAATATTTTTAAATATTTTAATTTTTAAATATTACAATTTTAATTTTTTAAATTTTAAAATATTTTATAAAAATAAATTCAAACTCTATTTTATAAAAATATTTTTAAATATTTTAATTTTTTTGTTATGTGTTTGGTTACGATTTGAGTGTAGAGTTGTTTTTAAATTTAAAATATTAACATTTTAAATTATTTAAATTTTTTGAATATTTAAATTATTTAAATTTTTACGATTTAAATTTTTTGAATATTTATTTAAATTTTTTAGATTATTTAAATTATTTATATATTTATGATTTAAATTTTTTGAATATTTATTTTGAAAAAAAATTATTTCCTTTGTAGTATTTTCAATTAAAAAAATTGATTAATGTTATTTTCTGTTAATAATAAATTTTTTCAATTGAATTTTAAAAAGAGTTTGGTTATGAGTGTTGATCAGAATTTTCAATAGTGTGAAAGTAGTGTGTTTTGTTATGAGTTACAACAATTTGAATTAAGTTTTGAAAACTCTTTCCAAAACTCATAACCAAACAAATTTTCTTACTTCACATGTCAAATCAAACTTTCAAAACTCAATTCAACATTCTATTCAAAAGTCATAACCAAATAAATTTTTTATACTCAAATCATAATTTCAAAATACACAAACTCAAAATATAATTCATATTCTCAAATTATGGTTAGAAAGTCTAACCAAACGGAGCCTAAATCTTGCAGGGAGAGACCCATGTTTTCTCTCCAGTCTCTCTCTCCTCCCTCTCTCTCTCTAAAGACAGAGCCATCATCATCTGCGTCACTGCAGTGCTTCTTCCCTCGCAACTTGCCAATCTCTCTCTCTCTCTCTCTCTCTCTCTCATCATGATCTCTTCTTATCCATCTTTTCTTTGATCTTATTAACCTCCTCCACCAGGACCCCCACTTCCTCTCCACTCTCTTCTCACCATGCCAATGAAACAAGGAGAAGTAAGTCTCTCTCTCTCTCTCTCATCATTATGAGTTTTACATGAGTTGAGAAAAACCCATGTTTGTGCTCCTTTTCAGGTCATGTGGCCCAGGTTGGTGGCTAGTAAGATCCTTAGAAAGAGATTGGGAAGTCACAATTTTGTTGCAGATTTTCCAATCAACACTGAAACTTTGCTAGAGCTTCCATACTTGGAACAAGAATCTCTGAGCTCCAAGATAATCTTTAATGATTACCAGGACACAAACAACTACAAGTAAGAAAATTGTTTATGTATACGTGTATATTATTTTTCTTGTGTGCGAATGTGCTAAATCTATCCAAATTCTTCTTACCCTTTTTCTAAAAACAAATTCCACTTTTTATTTCCAAAGAGTTTTTGTTAGTACATGGAACGTTGGCGGTGTTGCACCATTGGAGGATGTGAATATGAAGGAATTGCTAGATACAAGCAACACTTCATGTGACATATATGTTCTTGGGTAAATTCCAAAATCCAAATTTGTATACATATAGGAAATTGTTATATAAACAAAATTATTTTACAAACTGATATGGCAGTCATTCAACAATTGTTTTTTATCCAATTCGTAGCTCCTATGGCTATAATTAAATTTCAGTGAGCTCCGTTCAAATATTAAGACTTTAAATTGTACGCCATATAAGTTTGTAAAATAAATTTATTAAAAAAAATTTAAAATTTTTTAAATTTAATAATTTTGATGAAACTTTTTCTATATCTTGTTTTTTACAGGTTTCAGGAAGTTGTGCCTCTAAGAGCATCTAATGTGCTAGGGTCAGAAAACAGTGGAATAGCCATGAAATGGAATTCATTGATCAGAGAAGCTCTAAACAAGAAAACAAGCAAGCAAGAGAGAAATGAAGAAGGGAAATTAAAAGAACAGCAAATCAGCATTCCGACAAAAGATGGAAAACCAAGCATTACACCGGAGTTCCGATGTATTGTCAGCAAGCAAATGGTTGGCATATTGATTTCAGTTTGGGTTCGGAGCGATCTTCAACCGTTCATTCGGAACCCTAGTGTCTCATGTGTGGGTTGTGGTATCATGGGTTTCTTAGGAAACAAGGTACATAAATTCTAAATTATATTTACAGTAATAGTATATTTTTAGAATTTTAAATATCAGTTAATAATATCTGATATTGGCCAATATCACTGACCATATGAACCTAATATGAAAATGGGGGAAGAACTGCCCTTGGAAGACATGGCCCACAAAGTTGGTGATTTGACAAATATTTCAGTGTTTAGCATAGTCTATACAATTGTGGACCATGGAAGGCTATTATGATTTTAGAATTTTAAATATCTTGATACGATGTATATTGGAGTTTCAAATTTTTGATATTAATATTCACACTCACACATATATCGGTCAATACTATGTGATATCAATTGAGTGTATTGCTAAAATCAATATATACTCTAATATTATTAATTTTTACCATCTTTAAAATACGTCCTAAATTCAAAATTACTCTATGTGACAGTCACTTAAAATTAAGTGCTTTTAAAGAAAATAGAAAACTATCTTATTTCGTATTTTGTCTAAATGTCTTGTTTGCAGGGTTCAGTGTCAGTTAGGTTTCGATTACATGAAACAAGTTTCTGCTTTGTGTGTTGTCATTTGGCTTCAGGGGGTAGAGAAGGTGATGAGAGACATAGGAACTCCAACGCAACAGAAATATTATCACGAACAAGCTTTCCTAGAGGCCCTTCACTTGATTTGCCAAGAAAAATTCTAGATCACAAGTACGTAACTAAATTATATCCATTTAAACTGTCCAAAATGATTTGTTATCAATTTGTCTCATTAATCAACATTTTTCTTAATGATCTTCATCGACTAAGACACAAGTAATGCTCAATAATCTAATAGTTTAAGCAACAATTATCACTTGTTTATTAGTTTGGAATAGTCATTATGGATTTAAGGCCACCAAACATATAAAATTAACCTTTTGTGATTATGTTAATCACCTTGTTTAGGATATTTATTTTCAAGTTGTTGCTGATGAATTTTCTATACACTGCGGGCCTAGTGAGTTAAATGGGTGGTTAAAACCACCTGAAAAGGTTGGTTTCTTTGGTTGATAAACCATATATTATTAAAATATAGATATTCTTTTTGTCCCAAAATATAAGTCTATTTTAAAAAATCAATGAATAAAATAATGTGAATTTTCTTTTCTTTTTTTCTTATTTTAAATTTATTAACAACACAAAAAGTAAAATTATAAAAATTTATATTTCTAAAAAAATGTACCATCAAAAGGTAATTTTGAAAAATTAATATTTTTAAAGTGTAATAATTATACTACTAAAAAAAAAGTCAAATTTTCCAAAAAAAACTATTATTTTAAAACGGATGAAGTATTGTTATTAACTTTGTTATTCAAGTTGACTTTAAAACCATGAAGCTTTTCTTTTTGTTTTCATGGGAGAAAACAAATTTACTTTGAGACCATCAGGCAAATTGCAGTGAATTAACACTAGAATATCTTGAAGATGCTAGCTAATTAATTATCTTTGACTCGATGCAGCCGAACAATTTTTCTTGGAGACTTCAACTATAGGATCTCTCTACCAGAACCAGCGACGCGATTATTAGTAGATAGAGGAGATTGGAATGCTTTACTACAATTTTCTTTTTTTCTTATTTTAAATTTATTAACAACACAAAAAGTAAAATTATAAAAATTTATATTTCTAAAAAAATGTACCATCAAAAGGTAATTTTGAAAAATTAATATTTTTAAAGTGTAATAATTATACTACTAAAAAAAAGTCAAATTTTCCAAAAACAACTATTATTTTAAAACGGATGAAGTATTGTTATTAACTTTGTTATTCAAGTTGACTTTAAAACCATGAAGCTTTTCTTTTTGTTTTCATGGGTGAAAACAAATTTAGTTTGAGACCATCAGGCAAATTGCAGTGAATTAACACTAGAATATCTTGAAGATGCTAGCTAATTAATTATCTTTGACTCGATGCAGTCGAACAATTTTTCTTGGAGACTTCAACTATAGGATCTCTCTACCAGAACCAGCGACGCGATCATTAGTGGATAGAGGAGATTGGAATGCTTTACTACAAAATGATCAGGTAGCTAGCTAGAAACACTAAATTTGATCCTTACAAGTCCTTAATTTGGCCAAATAAATTAATAATTGTTATTAATTCATTGAAAAAAAAATGATCTTATATATCATTCTAAATTATTTGTCTAGCATCAATTTTATTTTATTTTTTTTGGAAATAAAGCTAAAGATGGAGCTTACGGATGGTCAAGTATTCGAAGGATGGCAAGAAGGAATGATCAAATTCGCTCCAACTTACAAGTATCATACAAATTCTGACGAATACTATGGTGGTGGTGATGGCAAAAAAGGAGAAAAGAAACGCGCTCCTGCATGGTAATTATCAGTATTGCAAAGAATTTATCCTTGATTATTCAATTAACTTCATTAATATTGACATAAAAAGGGCTTTGTTTTAGGTGTGACCGGATAATTTGGTCTGGGGAGGGGCTAAAGCAACTCTCATACACTAGAGGAGAGTCAAGATTGTCCGATCATAGACCAGTGAAGGCAATTTTCACTACCCAAGTTAGGGTTTCGCGAAGACTAAAAGGGTTACAAAATTTCTTCATATCAGAGAGGTTTGAACAGATCACAAGTCGGTTCGACTTGTCATCATCTCTTGGCCGCTCAAGCTTCCAACTCAGCGAAAATTTGACCCCATAATATGGTGTTGCCATGAATGTATCATATTTCTCTCCAATTGATAGTCAACTGACTGTGTTGTTGGGAGGGCCTCGATAGGCTTGCCATGGATTCACCTTAATAATTTAAACTGTTCATCTTATAAGTCCTTCTAAAAAGATCATCCATGTAAAAAATATCAAATTAATTAGACAACTGTAAACATATCTGTTTACGATTGCCTAATCAATTAGATTTTTTACATAGATAATATGCTTTAGAGATCATACAAGATTAATGGATCAGATTATCAAAGTGAGTTTGTAATGGCTCATCAAAGCCAAATTACATGATCTAGTTAGATTTGCCAGCTAGTGAGAATATGTTATATTAAAAAAGACAACCAAAAAAAAATAAGAAACGTCTTACATATAGTATTACTTCAACTTGGTGATGAGTGTACAGTGATATTTTGATTATCATGTTCTTCATGTTGTTTTCAGTCAGAAAAGTTGTCCAATTCATCCTCTCTTTCAATAGTTTATATATATATATATATATATATATATATATTTGTAATGTTTTAGTTTTGTCCAAGAACTTAAATCCAATTAATTGCCCACATGACATATAATGCTTCCAAACAGGGTGTTGTATGGTAATCTCCATGCAATGCATGCATGGATGTGGCCCACAAAACCTAATTGGAATTGGACTTACCAATCATTGGCATACCCTAGCAATAAGGACTAGGAGTAAATTTGATTGGAGTTCATGAATGAAACCATACACTGATCCACCACTGAGAGCAAAAAAGCATAAATCATCATCATCCATAATAAATTAAAATATTGAGCAGTTTGGATGGATAAATTAAATGAATTAATTTGAGGCATTGGTTACATGTGTGACATAGACCGCATCATCTTTAGTGCTTCTCAATTTGTTCTTTTTCCTTTCAACGAACTTATATATCTATGTGTATATTCATACACATATATATTTATATATGAAAATTCTATAATACACATCTTATTTAAAATGTGTATGATATGTTCCAGTTATAATATTTGTAATTTTTAGTTATGACCTATTGTGATGTTAATTATAACTTGATTATGACTCGGTTATGACTCATTATGATGATAATTATATACTATTAGGATTATTATTTTTTATTATAATTCAAAAGGTCTTTAGTTATACCTTGTGTTTGGTTATGAAAAGATTTAGTTATCAACACTACAAATGTCATAACTTGTATATATTCTAGCATGACCTATATATCTTCATCAATTTAATCTAATTGATAAGCTTTATTAAACAATATATATATATATATATATATAGACGAATATTAATGACAAAATTATCCATTTCAAATTAGATCTCAACTCCTTAATCACTTTAAGAAGAGTGGATGGACTGTTTTGTCCCCATTTATTTTTATCCAATTATTAGCATAATTAAATTGATACAATATGAAATTTTCAAAAATAAAATTGATACTATTAAAATGGCAAAGAGTAAATTGACAACAAAAAATAAACTATAAAGACTATATATATATATATGTATATAGATATATGAAATACAAATGGAGTAGTTTGTTTTGTTGCATGAATGCCAAGGCCGTTTTTAATTGTGTGGTTGGTAATTAATGTCAAATCCATAATTGCACTAATACCAATGGGCAAGGATGTGACGAGAGAAATTAAACTGGACTCTTCAAAACCCCTTTTCAAAAGGGTGTTCTTCAATGCACCTTGCCGAAACAAAACTCTACACATATAAATTCGGAAAATGCTATATATTCTAAAATTTTTATTAAATAAATGTTCAAATATTTCACATAAATGTGGAGTCTATAAAAATATAAATCACACATTCATATAAGATATTTGATATTTTTGTGGTAAAAAAATTTAACATCCCTATATCATTACTTTATAAATTAATGATTAACGAGTCACCAATTTATATTTATATATACAAAAACAATAAAACAAAAGGGAATGGGGTTTATGGTGGGCTGTGGGGTTCCATGGCACATTTAAGGGATGGGAAAGTGGCAATGGGCTAAGTGCTAATTTACGTCATAAGTGCACTGTGGACCAATGAAATAATCTGAAATATTTATGTTATGAAATTTGCGAAACAAGTCATCTATGCAAAAAAAATAAAATTAATCACATAAATTAGGTGAATTTTAAAAATCATGAATGAGGCTTTCACTCCCAACACAAACATCTAAATCCAATCTTATCTTCCGATACCCTCTAAATTCTGAGATACGAAAAAGTTGCAAGTACCCAAGAAGAACTGCAAAAAGGCTTGTAAAAATATAGAACTGAATTTATAAGGAAAATAGAACATATTTACCAAAGAAATCTCCAGTCCGCATATTAGATCACCATGGACCCACTGAGAAGATTTGACGCCGTTAATTTTGTAGGTTTCTCTAAATGTAGATCACTAATAAAAAAAAATTGATTAAATTTAGTAATTATAGCCACATGTTTTCATCATACTGTTTTCCAAAAAAAAAAAAAAAGGCATCCTTAAGTTCAAGTAGATCCTACAAATCATAAGTTCCAACCAGTGAAGGCAATGACTTCAAAACAACAGGTAATACCTAACGCCTTCCCTAGAAAGTTCTGCAAAGTTCAACAAAACAATCAGATCCTTTTCTCTTGGCTTTCAGTTTTCATTTGGGGGAAGTAGATCCTGGAATATATTTACAACGTTGCAAAATGGTCATCTAGTTCATCTAAGGACTCAGATAGAATCATAATCGACAACAGCATCATAGGCATTAAGATGAGCATCATCCTCTGGCTTGTCTACATGAAGCTTCTTCTTTTTGCAGCCTGGAGTCGAAGGCAGAAGAGATCGCAATAAGAAAAATGCTATTCTTTCATAAATTTAGTACGAAATACATAACTAGCATCATGAGGCAGTGCCATTTTTAAAATAATATGCATTTGAATGGCCTTTTGTTTGAAATTACAAGACCCAAATATGCCACTTCAATGATATATGATACGTACCACATCAATAAGTACGAAAATTTTGTAAGATTTGTTAATTTGTATGACATTACTCTTTCAAAAAAGGGTGCACAGAATAGCCTTCAATAAATATCAGTAGGGGAAAACAAATCGCAACTCTAAACGAGTTTCCGAGTTTATATGTATTTGGATTTACAATGCGTAAATAAACGGGGTGCTTCTAAATACACCTAAAAAATTTCTCACGAGACAGAGCATAATTCCCAATTAACAATTCTTTGTGAAAGAGTGGGTGTGCAGAGAAATTTGTTGGGCGTATTGGAAGTGCCTCAAGGAATAGCTTGTCAAAAGGATGTGTACCTGCTTTCCGTTTATGGCCATCAGCTTCTTTCTCTGTTTTGAGTTTTTCATTTGCAACTGCAGTAACGGAAGAAGCAATTTCTTTTGCATCTGCTGCTTTCAGAACCACCATAGACAACCTCATGACAGATTTCAGTAATCCAACGTAATAATAGCTTCTCTACAATGGAAAAGAACCACAAAAGAATGAGGACTTTTCAACACCGTTTATCGAGTAAGAAATCAAACAGAGCGATAAAGATACCTCATATTGGTGCAGTTTTTGAGAAATGAGGTTAGCATATTCTAAGAAGTCGGTTTCAGACTTGGGAATTAAGTTGTCTAGGGACTTCTCATCGCCACTCTCTGTAAATAGTTCTTCACTGGATTTAGGATCGCCCTCGTCAGCAATTCTGCAATAAGAGAAGCAATGGTACAAAACATTAGACACATTGTTACAAGAAATAATGCCAACCACGGAAAATTTATACTTCTCAACTTCCAAACTCGTAAAAACAGAAATGAATGGAGAAGAAATGAATATGGCAACATTATGTGGACGTACAAAAACATACTACAGCTCAAAATAATGGAGTTCAGAAACATGAACTGACAAAGAAAACAATGATTACATAATAGTGTAAGCATTGTCGCAACTCATTAACATAAAAGAACAATTAAGAATTATCAACGGCTAAAACCAAGAAAAATAATTCCCAATAACAAATTCCAAAACATTTTGAGTTCACAATCTATCAGCAAGTGGCTGCATGTGATGTTGTTTATATAAGAGATGTACAAAGATGCTAAATTGCTAGAACCGATTTAAGTCCTTGCTAAATATAACAATTACCAAACTAATATTTCAAGTGCACAATTCATATGCAAGAAGCACCATGTGATAAACTTAATGGAACAGTCAACATCATACCAAAAGAAATTCAGAATTTCATTTAAAATCCAAACTGAATTTGATAAACATATACGATTGGGATCTCATGATATATAACAAAGACCATTTAAGCACTACAGAATCAGAACCTTGGCCTTGATTTATTGCAATAATAAGAAAAAAGGAAATAAAAATATTAAGACACAACTACAAAAATGAATTATTTAAGCATAACTACATAAATTGTCCCCCATGCAATGGATCTGGAAAGATGAAATCAAACTGCTGTTCCTAATAGTTGACATAACTATATAAATGAATTTTTTAAGCATTGTTTTTACTACTTAAGCAAAGAATGCAACATATTGTAATTAATATTGTTAAACTATGTTATATCAATGTGATGTATTGCAACTTCTTTTTCTTAAGCCAAGCAGGAAACAAACCATCACCTTTGTTGTTGGAGCTTCTGTGCCAGAGGATCCAGAGAAGCTTCCTTTGCTATTTCAGAAGTCTTTGCTTTCTTGTCTCCAGCCTTCGACATATTTTTTGTTCCATTTTCTGCAGGAGGTTCTAGTGTTGGTGCCTAGTCACATCAATTTCAAGATTAATGGTAAGAACAAAAATAGTTAAAATTTGTGTGATTGCATACAATTCTTCCCACTCATTACAATTTTGCAAGTTTTATAAAAAGGCTTGCACATCGACATAGAAATAGTTGCCAAACCAAAACTATCCTTCAATGACTAACGCAATCACATAGGGTTTGTAGGCATTTGTTTCAACATCATGAGGTCAAGTCAAAGATATCTGTTAAAAACAATGCTTTAAGATGTCACTTCTCTATTTAATTATAATCAAAAGATAAAATACAGCATTAAAACCATAAACTTAGAAAAAGCATTAACAACTGTTAAACCTGATCCTTGTATCAAACAAATCTCAATCCTCTGTCAAATCCCAAGTAAAAGACATCATAGAGAAAAAAATTAAATAAATGCCCCAGGTGTTAAAATATTATAAAACCAACTTGCTACTGCTGCAAGAACAGTAAAATACTAAGGTATCACTACTGCTAGAATAACTTGCTACATTTCCCACCTTTAAAGACAAAAATACTTGAATGTACCACATGTAACAAATTTTCTGATTTACAGATATTATAATCAAATCCTAACTTTACTCCTTCCTTTTAGATGCCAGGCAAGTATTTTTATGAAAATGTTATAATGCCATTGACATCTTACGTTCAACAAATATTACTACGATTCAAAATAC